CGATGGTTAAGCACTCTTTCTGAACGAGAGAGTTCCATAAGGAGAAAGCAACATTTCCTCAAAAGTTAAAAGACAATAGCGCGTGTGTATATATATATATATATCGTATGTAATAGGATAAGAGTCATTGCACATAGGAAAGGCTCATGAAGTCACACGTTGCAGATTCTGTAGGAAGAGATGGCAAAGAGAAAAGGGCAAGGAGACAAGACATGTTTCCCTTGCAGTAAAATCAATCAAGCTACTACACTTTTTCTTCGGACAACTTATATGTATGTGTGTAGGTATATATATAAAACCAAATGGAATCGAATATGAATTTTTTTTTCTAGAAATTAAATGTGCTTTTTAATGAAAACTGAAATAAAACTGGAATCAAATCAAATTCCAATATAAATACTAAATGAATATAATTTTTTCAAAACCAAAAATCCAAAATACGAAATATTCAGCGAGACCTAGTTTCGTGTGTATGTATGTATATATATATATGTTATAATACAACAGTTTAAAGGTTGACGAAGCAAAACCTCAACGCAAAGAAGAATCTTCGTGATTTGATCATGAATGTTGTTGAAAGTGGCATGCATGGTCGATGGTGCTTCTATATTACAATGAACTCGTTAGTTTTTCGAAGACGTAAAACATAGTTTTTTTTATAACCCGCAAATTGATCGAGTTTTTGGCTCAATTAGATATGAACGTGGGTTTTTAAGATAAAGTATTTTCCTCTATCTGAGTTGAATTAACTGATCTTGGATAAAATAAAACATAGTTATTAGCTCCCTAAGTGTGTTAATCTTTTTCTTAATTATAATTAACGGATCAATCTTCTTCCACTACAAAAAAAGCGCTAAAATACGACGGACATTGCGACGGATATGTCCGTCGCACTAAAATTAACGACGGCTAACGACGGAATACAGACGGAAAACAATCTGACGTAATCCGTAGGTTTCCGTCGCAACATAAGACGACGGAATTTGACGGACTATTCCGTCGCAAAATCTTTGCGACCGAAAACGAGGGAATTCCGACGGAAGTATACGATGGACTATCCGTCGTAACAAGTGGCTACGGATACCGACCGTCTTCTCCGTCGCAAGTCTTACGACGGAAAAGTTCGACGCAGTCCGTCGTTTTTAGCGACGGATATACGACGCACCGTCTCCGTCGTATAGTTAGGTAAGAAACGTGTTTTTTTTGCTCAGAAAGTCCGTCGCAAACGGTCGCATTCCGTCGTTTGTTCGGTAGTCCGTCGGTATCCGTCGCAGGGTTAGGTGAAAAACGTGTGCCGACATCCGTCGCAAGTCCGTCGCAATTCTCAAGAATATTACCCCGCGCGTTTAGATCACCATCGACAAGCGAAAAAAAAATCCCACCAAACAAAAAAAACACAAAAAAAAAAGTCTTTCAATACAAGAATATGGATGTATGAAAGAATATATCCATACACAAATCAAATATGCAAAGATTTTGAAGAAGGGTTGCAAGCGTTTATGACGTTTGTTACATCTCAACCGTCATATATCGAAGGATCGAAACTTCCATGTCCGTGTGTGAAGTGTGAAAATACGAAATGGCAGTGTATTCAGCAAGTCTGGAATCATCTATATCGAAGAGAGTTCATGTTCAATTATTATGTTTGGCTAGCTCACGGAGAAACATTGGACACGACGTCTTCATATGGTGTAGTTAATCAAGTCATTATCGATGAGCAGCCAAACGAATTTCAACAAGGAGAAAGAAATCCGTATTCAGAAATGGT